CATATAAATAATTAAAAGTAATTAATCAATTAAAATCAGACTATAAAAACAACCCTATACATAAATACTAAAAAATGTTCAAGGTGGCGGGGGGGGCAAGGTCAATTACCCCACAAACCAGTTCCACTGATGGGAGCCCCAATCTGGCCCCCAGGCCTTCTGGCATAGCCAGGATTTCACGCTTTCCTGAAGGCCATGAGAGTGGGGGTACACCGCACCTTGGGAGGTAGGTTGTTCGATAGAGCAGGGGCCACCGCAGAAAAGGCCCTCTTCCTAGATCCCACCAGTCAAAATTCCTTGACTGGTGGGGTCTGCAACATGCCCCTTCTGCTCAACCGAGTGGGGTGGGCTGATATAACAGGGGCGACATGGCTGCTCAGATAACCTGGTCCTGTGCCATGAAGGGCTTTAAAGGTGATGACCAACACCTTGAATTGGACCCGGAAGCAAACCGGCAACCAGTGCAGCTCATGTAACAGCAGTGTTATATGTGCCCCCATGGGGGCATTCAAAACTGTCCACGCTGCTGCATTCTGCACCAGCTGTAGCTTCCGGATATTCTTCAAGGGTAGCCCCATGTAGAGCGTATTGCAGTCCAACAGGGAGGTGACCAGGGCTTGAGTGATTACTAAGAAAACAAACATGTGGATCATTGAATAAATCAACCCAGAGTTTTTACTCAAGGTGTGAATGACCAAGCTCAAATTATCATACTTTGGACACATTATGCAAAGATCTAGCTCACTGGAGAAATCAACAGTAATAATAATATCCCCCAGTGAGGCACTACCTTGACATGGTTGATGTACTGTATAATCATGTATGTCTGCCTATTTTATGCTGCAAACTGTGAAATATTTTAAGGGATTTCAGAGGGGAGAGAAAGAAAAACATGTTTATGTTATTGACCTGGAACAGAATAGGTTAAATTACAGGATGGTTAATTTTAGCATTTTGACCAAAGAAATCTATATAAGGATTATGGAAACTTCTTCCTCCATTTTAAAGTGTACTGGCAGGCATTTGAAATAGATAATTTAGGGAGGTATCAACCCTGGAGGGGAGGGATGTATGCAGGTCCAATTAATTTACTATCTCTGTAACATTATAAGTGTTGCGTCACACTCCCAGTAATTACAGGAATGAATCTTAATGTAAACATATACAGTTGCAAGAAAAAGTATGTGAACCTTTTGGAATTTCATGGTGTTCTGCATT